GGACGTGAAACGTCCGGTATGGCAGAATTTTGAACTCTGTCCATCCACTCCACCACATCATCGGTGATACCACAACCGCCGGATTCACCTACGAATAACAGTAAAACGTTAATTCTATTCGCTACGCTAATAATTAATACTTTAGAGAACAGACTTTCGAAATGAGGAGATACATACTACGTATATACTTAAACTCGTTGTTTCACCACGTTATACAGCGTTTCATAATTATACGCTAAAGACTTATACGTCCACGAATAGATTTCCTACAGGGAAAAAGAAAAAAAAAAAAAGATTACGCGTATCGCGTCCAAGTTGATCGTGATGCGACCGTGAAAGATACAAAAGATTAAACATAGTCCGACTATTCGCAATGGAATCTTGGGATCGTTAAAGTCTCGAACTAGAGTCGTTGCCAAGAACTAACAATACTACTAACGAAACGTCCGCGGGGTTCGAGGCAATTCAAATCTCTCAGCGTTCGTGCTTTCGATGGAAAGTAACTACGGGGGAAAAGCTGGATCCGTTAAAGCGTAGAAGGGTTGTTCCCCGAGACATTTCGACGAAACTCGAACATTCGATACACACGTATAGGTACTGTAGGAACGTAAGAAATGGAAGCGGACACGAGCACGCGTCTCGTTGTTTTCATCTTGCGAGGGAAGTTTATAACGCGTCGCAGCGGAAGCGCCGATGCGCAGTTTAATTATTCGCGTAATTTCGAAATGCAGGGAGCTGTGTCTGTAAAGCGGATGCACGGGCATAATGCGCCATGTAATGGCAAACTCTAACCGCTTCCCCTTGGGTGTCATATCATCCGTAACGGCGATGCTATTATTTTGAGGACGTGGTCACCCACCTACGTATGGGTGTGAAATCACACTTCCTCTTTCATCGTCCACCGACCGACACGGCACGGCGTAGCGCGACGTAGCATACCAACCAGACGACCGGCCGAGCAAACCTAGCAGAACGGCGAGCGAGCAGAGGCGTACACGCGACATTCTATCGCGTTTTTTACGAGTCGAGATTTTCATAATTTAGCTTTAAAGGTCCAGCTTCGACGATCCTTTACTTTGCCGTTTAGCGCGTTCGTCGTGTGATTCTCGCAGGTCACGACTGTCCACATATCACGCGTATCTACCGAAATTCTAACGTAACTCGAAAACGTAGCTAGAAAGTTATTCTATTTTTCAGGAATAAGTGTTTTCTTAGAATTTGTAATTTGCCGTTTGATAGCTCAAGCTGTAAATCATTTGTACGGTATCGATTATTCCACTTTAACCGTATCAGGGGCGAAAAAGATCGACAAATTTGACAAGGATCTATCAAAAAAAAGCGATTAACGATAACGATACCGATCGTAATCTGCCCTTAGGAACAATATAAAATTAAACAACGTGTAACGCGTACGCCGTTATAATCCAAGCGATAGTCGATTATAATAACTCGTGCAACCAAATTCGTGTGTCCCTGCATCGATAACATTGTATTAATCCTATTGCTAACGAGATGCTAACGGATGCTCGTGATCGGAGAGATGAAAGCGCGGCAATATTTGTAGCCAGTTAATACCTGATATTATGGTCGAGCATAACGGTAACCGATCAGGATCGCCGTTGCGTGCCTCCGTCCAAATTCTCTTTCTACCTTTTACAATCGAATCGTAGAGAACAAGTATCGCGTAATAAGAACAGGCTGATATCGTTGGTCTTGCTATCCAGGATAATTGCAGTGGCCGCGGCTGGTTTTATCGGCGGGTTAACCGTGAGCCACGAGCTTTAATGACTTGGCGTTTCGATGTCACGATGTTGGTCAGCTTTATCGATATCACCTACGCGGTAGCGTTAATTCGTATCAGCGTTATACGCTCCCCAATCTCCAACAGGGGACCTTTCGCTTTTACTCTTCGCCAAAGACTAACAAAGGAAACTTGGCAGATTGGCTCGTGATTTACATCGACGCGTCGCACAACCTGATCGATACGAGTAATAATCGAATCGCGAAGATAAACTCATCGACGACGATGAAAAATATAAAAGATACGGAAAAGGATTTCGTACAAAAATTTGTAGGACATTCGGTGCACGAAGCGTACCGATATTTATTTAACGACGATCCTGAAAAGCTTGGGCAAAGGTCGTATTAAGATTTTTAAAGGGTACGTGTCTTTGTAGCCGTAATAACGCGCAGTAATTTAATAACGATACTTGGGAAGGAAAGCGAATGGCGCAAGGGAACTCGCCGGTCCTTAATTTTGCAGATTCATAACGGCACGCACACTTCTACTCGCGTCTATCCCGCACGGAAACAGGCAAGATGGCGGGTGTTCTCGTCCGCGAAGCGCAATATACGCGAGAAGCACGATAAATATTATACACGAAACGGCAACTGTTTATTTAAGCGCCGGTTATTTGCATAAAAGCTGTAAACACGCTGGAGATGGTCAGACCGGGGTGAAATCTGCACGCGTATATCTATAGAAATGGAACGGGTCTGAGCTGTGTTCTCGGCGATGTCTAATTCGAACTCGGCCAACACCTTCCACCCTTGTTTCTCTCGTACCGGTATATGCACCCGAATAGACCACTTTCTTCCGTAATGATATCACGAATAGCGCGAGGAATTCACCCTATCAACCTGCTCGCTGGAGACCGTACCTTTATATGGAACGCGTAATCTCTCTGTATGGCCGTACACTGGTTTCAAACTGGAATAGACTACTTCGAACAGGTTCGAACATGTAGCCAGTTACCAAAATGTTCGGTAATAACGACCCTCTTTTAAAACAACGAGCATTTCCGCCAAGTAATCCGACTAGTGTTATCGAAATAAGCGAGAAGGAGGCGTGGTGAGAGCGAGCGAGTTTAAAAAACGACAACCGAGAAGGCAACGTGTCGTCGACGCATCTTTTCCAGGGTCAAATGGACCAGAAGCTCGATTCGGCGTTCTCGATCAAGCTGTACGCGCACGTCGTTAAACGCTTTGACTCGATGAGACCTTCGGGTTCAGCCTGCTAGCTACGCGCTACTTGTTTGAATTTGACTCTCTAACTAGCGTGCGCGACGCGTGTCTGCGTGCGCCTCTATTCACGAACGCGCAATTCAGAGTCGGCTACGCGGACCAGCGTGTGTCGTTAAGGCGATTCGCTTAAAAACTGTACACGGCTGGGTGCTCCTTTAAGGATGGCTCGTAACGCCGACTGTTTAGTCCGTCGGTTCGAGAAAGGGAGAAACCTGTGTACGTCGCGTGGCAAAGGGGTGCTGTCCGTCCAAGTGTGTAAACGCAGGGTCGCGTGGCGCCGTTGCGAATATGTATGCATTCGCGTCGACGCGACCTGTCCGTCGGATCTATAGAGGCGGTACGCGCTCTATGTTTAGAGCCACGGAGAAGAGGCGCCGTGCTTTTCTATCGCCGAACCTCTCTTCCGCATTCTACTCGCGGCTACCCGCCTTTTGTCAACCGCCGCAACACGCCATTTTTTCCTAACGAAATTTCTACGCGCGACTCCCCGTTTATCTTTGTCTATCTTATCTATCTTTGTACGACATAAGTGGGCAAATAAAATCGATCGAAAGAACCAACAAGTAGATATTACGATCTCGTTCAGGTATTATAGCGTAAGGAAGTTGTTTAAAATCACTTAACACGATATTGATATTTAGTATTTTAGAACGGAATATAAGTGGAAATAAAGCTTTCGAGTACCTAGTATCGAGTAGATTATCAGAAGTCAACCGGATTTCGCAGGAAACAAAGTTGCATTCTGATATACGTACATAGACGCACGTTCGAACGGATATATCTATGACGGAAAAATTTGTGCAAAGAATTGACTAGTTGTGACTTATTCTCAACGCTGATAAGAACAAGCGACACGGCAATACGATTAAAGACGAAAGGCGCTATCACGCTGATATTTCAAACGGCGCTCGATCGCTCTCACCGAATAACAAAGTAAATAAATTTGCTGCAGAAACAAGTCGTATCAGAGATTAAAATTTATTTTAACGATTTCGTGCTTATTTTATGGCCCGTCGTTTAGTTTCGTACAGCTCTGATCCGTCTTATGCACCGTTATGTAATTGTTTATGTCCAGTAAAGAGCTTATCTTCTTACCACTTTATTGCTCCTTCGAAAGTTTGATCGATATTTATTATCGCATTACGATCTTGGTACGTGTAACCTGTACAACGTTGATGGTAAGAATGGTACGCGAATATTTACCACTGGCGGTCTACGTACTATATTTTAGCATAAGAAGCTAGGCTAGATCGAGATACAAGATAGAGCGGCCTTCCTTTCGGAGATTCCTCGAGTAACGTGCGTCGTATTTCCATTATTTCGCTTCGTGGACGCGGTTAATTGCGTTACCCAATTGCGCGATATACACGGTCATCAGAATTATCCATGCAAGTATATACAAATACTATCGATCGTCGTTTTTAGATTCCGTTTTAATACCGTTTGCACATTCACGTAAACAAATTTGCCACTCGACCAATTTCACTGTGCTTCGAAAACGCACGTTAAAGATTTTTAACAAGGACGCAGCAGATTTACGTTTTATGGAAGGTAGAGGTATGCGAAACTGCCGTTTTAATCTGCCGTGGAAATCTGCGAGCTGTGTAATTAAAATTAATTATTGCGTTTAATTAGATCGAACGATGCATTACAACACTTACTCGAAGCGTGGTTAGCGTAGTTAGTTAATCGTAATAATCGCGTGAAATTAGATCTGTTCGGTGGTCTAAAAAGTTTTACCCTCGTTATTTTTCTTCACTCGATTTTTCGATTTTTCTTCACTCGACAAATCTAATATAACGATATATCTGGTCTAAAATCGTTCGTTGGACCGATTGGAGCGATTTTTATGACGATAATATTATTTAAGAGAAAAATATACCGAACGGAGAAAGCAAGAAAAAAGGAGACGGAAAAAATTCGACGTACCTTTTCGAAGATGGGCGTATGGGTCCCCGACGTTATTTTCGTGATAAATGACCGAATGTAACGTGTCATTTATCTCGTGCGGCGGAAAGTAATAGTGCGCCTTTTCCACGTACCACGCGCCACCGCGAGGCGAAATGATTTTTCCGTGGAAAACACCGTCGCTGATGCTTCCGAACACGTGACTGCCAGGTTCACCTGGAAATAATAACATATTTCCTACATATTTAACAATGATGGTCAACTATAGAGATATTTCCGACAAATTTTCGACAAATGTTCGTAATGCGGTCTCTCAAGTTTCAGCGTTCGGCTCGTTAAATATAATTAATCTTTCGAACTGTGTAATTATCAAATGCGATAAATTTAGCTGCTTCTCGCTGTTTCGAATAATATGAAAATATACAAGTTTTTTTTTAATCGTAATATTCAAGCGTTGCAAGTATGTTTCAAGATTTTAAGCGATATCGCTTTAAACGCGATCGGAATATGCATTTCGTTTCTTTTAAAAAATAGAATACTGCACCATGGAGAAGATCGTGCAGCGTTTAATTTCGTTTTCTCCGTCGCGTCCTACAGAGGAATAAATATTTACATCGGAAGAAACGTTATATCGGACCTATGTCAACCGGTTTTTCCTATCCACTTTGATAAAATGGAAGAAAACCTCGTGGTCGAGTATCGCCGAATGTCAGCAATTTTTAAGATAGATTTTTCTCTTCTTCTCTTTAAAAATCGAAGTAAGAGATTCGGCCGTTTGCTCCCGGTCCACGGTAAACGCGAACCACGGTTAGACGTAACCAGGTGGCCGAGGGTCGCAAGTGCAAAAGTGAAAGATAAACCGTTCCAACAAGCGAGCCGATCTATAATTTAAAACGTCCTCCTTTGCACGAACTCCTGTAAATTATTAGAGTGGAAATAAAGATCTCAGCCAGTACGTACACGCACTTTTGCGTGCCACACCTGGTATCGCGCGCGAATCGCGACTGGCTTAGGAGCAGATACGACGCTCGGACTATACCGTAAAACGGTACTGACTCGTTTCAGAATAAAGTTTTACAATGTAACAGCGCACGCTTAAGGAGCAAGGAGCTCGTGATTTACGCCGTAGCTATAGGCATAGGTATAGGGAATCTCACGACTGTTAGACCATATTCCGTGGTGCGTCGTATTTCACAACTATTTACTGGCTGTTTCGTTCTTTTCGCGTACATCGTGCACCATCGTCTGCGACCATCGACACCGCGCGCACCTTCACTCTACACGCATCTTCCGTAATTTCCACGTAGAGTCCGATAACCTTCTCACTGGGAACCGCGTTTCTGTTCACATTTCAATATCAATGGATAAGTGGAGCAACGTACGAAATGTTCTATTCCGAAACGTCAGGGAGCAAGCTATCGATAGAGGATAACGTTATTACTCTTACATACTCGGATATCACATAGACACGGACACTTGTGCAATTTTCGAAAAAACCAGTCGTAAACTAGACGAATGATTTTCAAAGCAATTACTTTTATCATTTTTGTTTCGGCATTTTCCTTCCCGTCTTTATTACCTATACGTATACGTATACATAGACCGAAGGAATTATCGCAAATTATCGTCTCAGCGCTGATTGAAAATCCGATCGCAGAAACGCGTAAGTGAGAAAAGAACGATCAAAGCTGGAACTTACCAACCAAGTGGCCCTGGTAAATATGCGAGGTATCGAGGTCTTCCGTTTGACCGGAAGGGCCTTCGATAATTAAGTTACTGCTAAAGGTAGCCAGATCTCGCTTCAGTCGGATGTGGAAGTCCCTTCCGTGCGAACGAAACTTCAGAGTCACGGAATTGTCGCGGGTAACCGACCTCTTGGCCCTCAAGTGACCTCGGTGGACCTCTTCGGTAGGATAAGAGAGAGGTTCGTAGTGGCGGATATATTCGTTCAATCGACGAGCTGCAACACAGAAAAACGAACAGGCGATGCTTCAAACTGGTCTTTAACCATACTTTCGAAGGCATTCGTCGAACGATGCGGGGAATAACACGAATCGTTGAACTTCATCAAGTAGGATTCGCTGTGAATTTTATTCCTTTCCATTCCGAACTTTCTTCGCTATGTAAAATACGCTTTCGTCGTACATTTAAACTTTCTCGTAACTTGTTAGCGCATCGATACATCATTCACCGTACGAGACTATATATAGATGATTCTCACTTAATTGGGTAATTATTTGGAACACGGACGATCTCACTGATTTCATTTACCTTGAAATATGTTATCAAGATCGTCGTTCTGAACATCTTTCTCCTATACGTGTTATATCCTTTATATGTACGCACTTAACGAGATCCAGCTTTCTGGCTTTTCGATTAGGTTTAAATTAAATTGCATTCGATTTAAAGTTATATTTGCTTATATTTACTAGTACATTTTATTGTTAACGCTATATAACTGCAAATATTTTCACTATTACGAGTTACGAGTTATAAAGAGTTACCGAAATTATGTCGTCGTCGTCGTCGTCGTCGAATCTAAATCGAAGATCTTATTCACAACCGTATATGCAAGGCTGTAAGAAGCGACTTGGAAAATTTTACTTCGATATCGCGCGAATTGCTCGCTCGTAAAAATCTAGTCCAATCCAATATCGATCCCGCAGGTGAGCGAACGAGCGAGCGAGGAGTTTTTAAGAATAAAACTTTTGTTCGAAAATCGGACACCGTTTGTCCACTTGTGAGATTGATACGACGCGGCGTTGGATTAAATTTTTACGAGCGTGCATGGCGTGTCGTCTTGAAGTAGAATTTTCAAAGACGCTTGTTACGATCTGGCATATGCAGCTGTGAACGAGAGCTGTTCCAAATAATTACCGTCTCCTTTTATTCGTTAATTTGCCCGTTACAAAAAGTACGACGGTAAGCTAACTTTTCAAACAAGATACTTGAACGAAAGTACGCCATTTATATTCAATCAAATAAAGTAATAACGAGTGGATTCGCTTTGAAACAGGCTGAAATTAAATTCAGTTTGAATTTGAATCTGGCATGAATTTAACATTGCGATCGATGATCGAGATTTCAAGTGAAAAAGTAAAGCAATTTTCCAGGACAATATTCCACTTGAAGTAATTAACAGCTTATTCAATAATTCTGCAAAATAAATTCTGTATTACACACCAGAGCTTTATATTATCCATCAACGTGCAAAATTTCGAAATGGTTAGTATATACAATACGCGTACTGTACTGAAATTTTTTTTACACCGAATATGAAAATCATTTAAGAGTCGAAGAGTATTACTATCGCGTAAAAATAGATTTTTATATCGCGCTCGGTTTATAAAACCGGGAAGTCATAGACTTGCATTTTTCGTAGAAAGTAAGTTTCATCCGTAATTAATTTCGTTAAAAACAGAAATATCGCTCGTGTTTTACGCGTCAGATATTTCTGGCACTCGAAGGAACTCCGTCCATATAGTCCTGTAACCCGGTCAATAATCGTGACGCTTCGTTGCTTAACAAGTGCAAAGACGCTTGCTAATTCAGCGTATAGAGGCGAATCAAAGCGAAAGTTTATACGAAACGAGTGGTCGTTACATGCAACCAAGAGCGAGAGTTTTGCATCGACGAGTAATGTCCTAATGAACTATATACGCAAATATATATTGCGAATAGCTTTAATACAGCCGTTTATCGGAATCCGAACTAGACACGGACATAGGATAGAATTCGAAAATTCGAAGAACAAACGACAGGGAAAATTCCAAATACGTTGTTACGAAAGATGGATTTCTGTTATTGGCAATGGCTGACTTGTCAACGAAGATCGTCGCGTGGTTCGTTCGCGAAGAAAAGGAAGATAGAATGTCGCTTTTCGACGAAACGAGACAGAAGAAGGCACGGGAAAGAAAATATCTGAGAATTAATTGCGAGAAATTGGAGAGTTAGTATCGGTCGGAAGAACGCAACGTTACTTCGTTTACTATCGTTATCTTCGAGTTGCACGCGTTCCACAAGGTACATGTTCGCGCGAAATAAAGTCAAAAGAGAACGGTCCGAGTTCGATAACCAGTCATCGTTTCGAAATGGAAAACTTAATAATTTGCTATCGTTGGCGTTAACGTAAAATTCGCATTAAGATCTCGGAGAAACCGACAACTTTATTACGAATTTCACGGAAAACTACGTTTTATGGAAGACGCGACCATCGCTCTGTGCAAACTTGGGTCTTACGTAATCTTATAGAAACTAATACGAAAAGAAGCTAACATTTCATTAAATCGTATAAATCTCGTAACGGTTCGCTGCAGACGGTGGGTTTAACTTTTAATCCGAATGACAGAAAGAGTACGTTGGGTAACGCGTACCTAACGGATGCCTACGACAGAAAAGGCGGCAGCAATATGCTGAAAGCGCAGAGAAACGTGGAACGATGGGATTGAGAAACGTGAAATGGTCGTCGCGACTTTCAATTTTCCAACGAACGCTTTTCCTCCGAACCCTTGTATCACGACAAAAAAAGAAAGGAGAAACAAAAGCAAAAAAAGGACATCGTAATAACGTTAAAAACACGGTGGAACGTAGTCGTGTAAAATTAGCGTTTACGGAAAAATATACTAAAATAGAAGATACTTGTATCGAAGATAGAAATATACCGAATACTTTGAATTTAAAAACATCTCTCGTTTCTTTTTCTCGTGCATACATACTTTGGTTATACGACGCTCTAACATTTCTGCAGAAATTACAAAGAGAAGTTTAGATATTTTTCTCCAATTTCCACAGGTACGGACGAACGAAACGATAAGGAGATGCTGTCGTAAAATAGCGTAAACCTACGTTGATATCAGTTGCGAAATTGGATTAACGCGATCAAGGTGATGAAAGAATCGAGGTAAGTGGGTCACCACGCACGGGTCGGCATTGTACCCGATGTGCATCGTGGGCGTAATTGGGCCGATACGACGTTGCGACGGCGTTACCTTTAAATTAGCGCAATCGTGTAATCCGAACGGGGAAATTTCCATTTCTCGTTTACTCCGGGGTAACGTACAGCTTCGATAACTCGACCACGGCAAAGATACGTACACGCGTTCTATCAAATTTTCAGGTCATTTAAACGCTACGATGGTTCGGTCGATTCGACGTTGGAGATCGTGTTTCCGCGTTCCGATCGTGCTCCATCGAATCTTCTCTGTAAAACGCTACAAAAAGCAACATGCTTCCCTGATCAGCTGGTCGGGGATCGGTTTGCTCCAATGTTTTGGTAAAGATTTTCTTTCTGAACGTCGTTTCCTCCTTCGAGAATACAAATCGTATCCCGTGGCAAGAGAAGTCTCTACGGTTTACGATGCGAACCCGTCGTTCGAAGGACACTGGTTTCCTCCAACAGCATCTACTCAAATACGCGTCTCTGTATGTAGTTTGGCAAACAAGAGAAGCACCATTAAACGTTGCAGCGTGACTATGTGGATCGCTTTCGAAAAGAAACTGCGTTTAGTAGTACGGTTAGATCCTGGACTAAATATCCTCGGGTACAGGATGCAAAAGTTGTTATCCGATTTACGAAAAGATATAGAACGTATCGTCGTTAGGATATTTAAGGGATCAGAGAAATTTTCTAATTTCATTGCCTCGGGTTATGATCGAAAAGATTTCGCGGAAGACGTTCCCGGCATGGGAATCGCGTTAATAATCACGTGGAAATTCTCGTAGGATTTCAGCGAAGACGCGAAGCGAAGAAACGAAGCGTGTCTTTGTTCGCCATTATCGAACTCAGCGAGGACCGAATAAAATTCAATGAATCTCCGCTACGTGCGTCTTTCGCAGTAGCAGTAGCAGTAGCAGTAGCAGTAGCAGTAGCAGTGGCAGTAGCAGTAGCAGTAGCAGTAGCAGTAGCAGTAGCAGTATGTAGTACGTAGCAGCAGTAGCAGTCGGTCAAATTGCGTCTGGCATCGATCTATTGACTCGGGCATGTGCTCCCTTCTGTCCGGAGAGGAACCGGTTTCCGGTAGCTGGTTCTATCCACAGGAAACATCGTGGTTGCGAGGGGCGTAACTCGCCACGAACCGATGCGATGGATCCCTCGTTCTATGGTTTATGAACATGTACGATGGACACATGGTGCGTTCGCGATCAATCTTATCTGCACGCATGCGCATTATATGCATAGAAATAAAAAAAGAAAGAAAATGGCAGCAAAGCGAAAGACGGATAGATAGGCAGGCAGAGAGAAAGGGAGAAAGATCATGGAAAAACGAAACGAGCGCAGAAGTTATCGAGAGAAGAAAACGCAGAGACGACGAGAGTAACGTAATCCGTCAGTCGATTTTACGTTGCATCTATCGTACCGGAGTAAACGTCCTATTCGTGTGATCTCGAACGATATGATTTTATAGTGCGTTTATCGTGCACGTTTATCGCTCAAAGATACAAATTTATCGCGCTAATGAAACTCGATATAATATCGTTACAGATAACGTTACCAACGTAACGATCTACATATTATTATACGTATTAAGTTTTCTTGTTACAGACAATAGATATAGCATTTAATATTTCCACGTATAATCTTATCGAGTTAAAATTTGATCGAGATCGTACAGCGCGCAAATCGATGAAAAGACTATTTACCTAAATGATTCTATCGTTCTCTAAAATATTCTAAAATAATGACTTTAAAATAAGGTATTTTAACAGCCTTGGATATTTGATACAGCCACGCAGACGATACACGTTCAGTTTCCGATATTTCATTGCTATTAGTAAATCGTTTAGCAGCGTCGATATGATAGAATACGGTGTTACGTCGTATAAAGATACGATGAATGCGTATATGACAAAAATAAATCTCTCCCCCTCTCTCTCTCTCTCTCTTTCTTTTCTCTCTTTGCACGAAATTAATTTGGTTGTTTACCAAAATTCGCCCGGGGAAAGCAAAGAATATACCACTGC